AGAGCAGAATCATGGGTAAATCTTAGAATCTGGAGACCCCATCTTTCCACACCCTTGTTGAAAGATGATGATACACCCTCCATTTAGTGTGTGTCTTCAGCTGTGTATCAAATACTCAAGTTAGATTCATTGAACTCTTCCCCTAATTGACTGTAGCATCTCAGCAGAGCCTAGACATTGCTTGTACAGATCTGAAATTTGCCTCCCTCTGACTTCCCTCAATGCTTTCCCAATCGCAAGAAATAGGAGCCTCCTTCCCCCTGCCAGTCACGCTTGTCCTTGTGCTTCTTGTAGAAATAATCTCACTTCACAGGAGACCTTTAAAGTCAGGAGAGGATTCTTAACTTTGCAAAACAGACTCAGTGTAGAATTGTGGGTCCCTAGTTCAGGGGTGAAAGTTCTGTCTTCCCTAGCAATCCTGAAAGAAGAGTCAGGGGTACAGCCATCTAGGACACAGAGCCCAGTTCATTCCTGTTCTTGGTTCCTAATAGCTGCACCCCTCTTTTTTAGAGGGAGACCCCCTGGGTCAGTTTGGCATCAGTCAAGTTGGGGATGAATGGAGGATCTCCTCAAAGAAGACTCTGGACCGAGAGCACATAGCCAAATACCTACTCAGTGTAACAGCATCAGATGGCAAGTTCCAGACTTCAGTCCCTGTGGAGGTCTTCGTCCTGGACATCAATGATAACAGCCCACAATGCTCACAGGTGAGCCCTCCTTGGGAGTGTTGGCGTGGAGGTGGGGGCAAGGAAGGTTGGGAGAAGACAGGAAAATAAAGACAAAGCCTTGCTGGTGGTGCAGTGTATGCCTTTAATCCCAACATTTGGGAGGCAGAGGCAGGTGATCTCTGTGAGTTCAAGACCAGCCTGTTTTACAGAGTGAGTTCCAGGACAGCCAGGGCTACACAGTGAAGTCGTGTCCTGAAAAACCAGGCACGCACGCGCGCGCGCACACACACGGGGACAAGCCCTCGCTGGCCATCTCTGTCCATGCCTGGCTCAGCATCTTCTGAGCAGACCTTAGGCTAGTGTTCATGGGCAGAAACCATTCTGGGCAACTCCTTGATCCTAGAGGTAGAGTGACAATGCATATTCCTGCTGCCAAGCTTGACAACCTAAGTTTGATCCCCAGGACCCACGTGGTACAAGGAGAAAACCAACATACAAATAAATGCAATAAAATAAGCAGAGAGTTTTCCCGTTAAATCTATTTTTAAAACAACCAATTTTTAACTTTCAAGGGAATTTCTAAAACTCTAAACATTTTAATAACATCTCAACTTAGAATGATTCATGTCTACTGAAAATCTAGCCAGTCATGGTACACATATGAATGCATACTTATACATACAGATACACATCTGCACAGTGGGTTAGCTACAACCCTTCCACACACAGACAAATACCTGCACAAATGTACTCATGTACACATACCTACATAGCTGCCACATTTGCTCACCATATCTGTCAATGTGCACATATGTATTTTATGCAAGTGTACCCATGTATGCACAGTTCAACTTACTTACATGCACAATGCAAATATACACCCATGCAGCAGACATGACCACATATGCCCCGTCACTTTTCCTTCTGCCCTCTCTTCTGTCACACAAAATATAGCAGAAGAGAACCTGGGGCATTTGTAACCAGGGATCCCAGATAAGCACATGTCTCAAAAAGACAGCTCCTTTCTTGAGGAGAAAGGTGGCCATTTTTGTCCTCTTTCCCATTGATCATAGGACCTCCCTCTTCTCCTCTGTTAGAAGAGGCTATGATGCCAGGCATTGGTGGCACATGTCTTTAATCCCAGCACTCGGGAAGCAGGGGCAGGTGGATCTCTGTGAGTTCAAGGCCAGTCTGATCTACAGAGTGAGTTCCAGGACAGTCTCCACGACAATACGGAGAAACCCTGTCTGGAAAAACAAACAAACAAAAACAAAAAAACAAAAAAAGAAGAGGCTAGGATCAGGCTCAGCCTAGCCTTCCCCAGGTGGTCCATAACATCATCAAAGTCAGGGAAGAAAGAACTGAAAACGGGTCCCACACAGTCCAGTTGGGCATGATGTGGTCCACCCGGAGAATGCCCAGGGCCCTGCTTGCCTGTACCCCATGTGGTACAAACTAGGATGTCAAAGGGGCACCAAGTTCTTGGGCTCCAGATATTTTCCAGTACCCAACCATTTTTGCACTGCAGGGGAGGGAAGGAAGGATGAGGCAGTGGTATGGCCACTAAGGTCTACCTTAAAGACCAGAGGTCTGTCCTGGGAATATGAGCAGGGAGGCAAGCTTAGCAGCCTGGTATCATGACAGAGACAAGGACAGAGGTTGGCAGGGCTTGACTTGAGACTCTGCATCATCTGTTGCCAGACCTGCCTCAGCCATCACTTCTCTCCAATGACCTATGACCTCTCCAAGTGGGCTGAGGTGGGTCCTTCCAGCCCTGGGCATTGACTTCCCAATGGTGGCCACTTGTAGGCCATATTCTGACTTATTCTCTGCCATTCCTTTCCTGACCTGTTATTGTTGTTTGGTGTGTGTGTGTGTGTGTGTGTGTGTGTGTGTGTGTGTGTGTGTGTGTAAGGGCCAGAGAGCAACAATGCTGGGTGTCTTTCCTCAATCATTTCCACCTTTATTTTGGAGACAGGGTCTCTCAATGAACCTGAGGTTCATTGATTCAGCCAAGCTGGATGATCAATGACCCTCAGGGATCCACTTACCTCCAATACTCCCCACCCCCGTCCAGTGCTAAGGTTGCAGGGGTCCCCCCTTCCCATTTTTTATGTGGTTTCTCGGGATCCAACTCAGACCCTCAGGCTTTTGTGACGGGTGCTTTACCCATTGAGCCACCACCTCAGCTCCCTCTTCCAGCTTTAAAAAAGACTGCCTTACCCACTGTTACTGTGTTTGTGTGGATGATGTGGTGGGAGTTGGGAAGAAGACAACTTTGGGGAGCCATTTTCTCCTTTCACCTTCATATGTGACCCAGGGACAAAACTCAGGTCTTAGGATTGTTTAGGAAGCCTATTTACCCACTGAGTCATCTGTCAAGCCTCTGGCTTTTAATCTCCATTTTCCTTATATGTCTCTTTAAAACAAACAAGCAACCAACCAGGGATTCACGTAGTCTGGGCTGGCCTTAAATCCCCAATGAACTCAAACATGAACTTGAACTCCTCCTTCTGCCTCTACTTCCCCTGTCTGTATTCACTTGAGTCACCTCTCTGCCCGCCTCCGCTCACTCCCCACGTCACTGCCTCAGACTCCTCATGCTTACCTTTCTGTCTTCAGCTTCTCTACACCGGCAGGGTCCGTGAGGATGTCACCCCTGGACACTTCATCCTGAAAGTGTCTGCCGTAGACGCAGACATGGATACCAATGCTCAGATCACATACTCTCTGCATGGGCCTGGGGCCCAGGAATTCAGACTGGACCCTCACACAGGTAAGTGTCTGAGGTGTGGAATGGGGCCAAGGCCCTGTGTCCCTGCCATGGTGGGCTCTTCCCCGAAGCAGGAAGTCACTCACCCACCTGTCCACCCACCAGCAGACACCAGCATCTGGGGACATATGAAAAGGATGAGTGAGTTCAGACACAGCTCTTTATAATCCAGAGGGAAAACTGATTGCTGAGTCCGTGGCTTGCAGTGTGCTGAGTTAGGAGCGATGCAAGTCGGGTATGGTGATTCACACCTGTTACCTCAGTGAGGAGTCATGAGGGTTTAAGGCCAGTCTGGGCTACATAGTGAGTTCCAGACCAGCCTTGGCTATAGTATGAGACCCATCCTCAGACAAACATAGGAAAAGGAGGATGCTATTGGAGGGGGACAATGATGTTGACGAGAGTTGATTTAGCCTTAGGAGGAAGGTTAAAGAAAACCTCTTTGGGGAAATGCCATTTTATGTGAATTTGAACATGCACAGGAGTTAGCTGGGCATATATGGAAGGCAGAGATGGAGGATGTGCTCAGGGTCTTATTTGGGGACGAGGACAAATGTGTGAATGTGCACAGAGAATGGAGAGACAGAGGATGCTTCCCTGAAGACAAATGGGCCGATTCCTTCTGGAGTCAATGGAGGATTTAGACATGAGTGCCAAGCTGAGGGTGCAATCTCAAGATACACACATTGCAAACCGGGATACAGGCTCCCAGGACTTCAGCAAACACCACTAGCAACAGAGCTCCTGAAAGCCTGGCCTGGGCTAAGGCAGAACTCGGTGAATGGGGACACATTGTCATTTGATCAGCTAGGGACAAAGCAGAGGTAGAAAGTGGAGGCGTTGCAGGGTGAGTCCATGAACAGCCAGGCCAAGGCTGAACTGTGAGGACTGTTGGAGAGATGGGTAGGGAAGAGCAACACCCGCAGGTAAGACCCTATCCTGCTGCTGTGGGAAACAGGTGGCCGGTGGCAGCCAGGTACAGGGGCCAGCTGCCAATCTTTGGCTTGAATCCATAGCTCCAAAGGTGACTCAGAGATTCCTGAGCAGGGAGGGGTAGGTGGGTGGGTGGTGGCGGAGAGGGCCGTATCCCAGGAAGCCATCTGGGTGGATCAGTGACCACATTGTCCTTCCTGACCCCAGTCCAGCAGGTTAAGTGATTTGGGAAGCTTGTCTTCTGCTGCTGTTTGCTCAGCTGTGGGACTGCCCATGAGGACTTCAAAGAAAAACCAACTGGGCGTTTTTTTTCAGAATATGAAAATGAGGCATGCTCATTTCCAAATTGAAAAACATGGCAGGTATCCTGCAGGAGCCAGAAAAGCTACACAATAAGCCCTCACCAAAGCCCACTCGGTGTGCATGCAACCAGCCTACCTTCCCATACACCTACCAAACCTCTCTGCAACAGTTCCTCTGATGTATCATTTGCTGTTCTCCCCTTAGCGATAGCTTGCAGGTGTTTGCAAGGAAGAATGTAAAGTTGTCTTCAGTCATTACTGATTATATAATACATCTTTGTTTCATTCCTGTTGCTGTGATAAAATACCCCAACACAAAGAAACTCAGGGGAGGAAAGGTTTATTATTTCAGCTCAATTCCATATCACAGTCCATCTTTGTGGGACGTCAAGGCAGGCACTTGGAATAGCTGGTCACAGCACATCTACAGTCAAGAGCAAAGAGAAATGGGCGCATGCACACTTATTTGTGCTCAACTGGCTTTCCTTACTCTCTTGCACAGCTCAGGACCCCCCCACCTCCCACCCCCACCTAGGAATGGTGCCTCCCACAGTAGGCTGTGTCTTCCCACATCAGTTAAGACAATCTCCCAAGACATGCCCATAGTTAAACTCTGTGTGGACAGCCCCTCACTGAGACTCTCACGTGACTCCAGGTTGTGTCAAACTGACAATTAAAACTAACCACCTGATATTACTTTACTATGTGACTGAACCATAACATATTAGTCAATTTCTATTTGAAAGGCATACAGGGTGATTTAAATATGCCATTATTATAAACAATACCTCAGAGAATGTCTTTATACATTTTTCTTGAGACAAAAAATCATGACTGTCCTGGAACTCACTATGTAGACCAAGCTGGCCTCTAACTCACAGAGATCTGCCTGTCTCTGGGATTAAAGGCATGGGCCACAACACCCACATATACATCATATATATATATTTTTATCACTGGGTTAACTATTCTGTGTAATAGATATGTATATATAATTGAATGGAGACATATATATATATATTCATTCCTACAAGTGAAATTTTGTTTTTGTTTCTCAAGACAGGGTTTCTCTGTGTAGCCCTGTTGTTCTGCCTCTGAAGTGCTGGAACTAAAGGTGTGCACCATCACACGCAGCACAAATGAAATTTTGAGCCAAATTTTTTAGAACATTTTTTATGGTATAAGTTGCCTAAATGACCTCCAAAAATCTATCTATTTGTATCTTATTGATGGTGGCCTTTAGATTGGTGGTGATGGTTGTGGAATGCTGTGGGAGAATTAGAAATGTGGGTGGGTGCCAGGGCGTTTTCCCTGACAGCGTGTATACAGAGCAACCTCTCTCTGCTCTTATACAACCTGTGACTAACACTATTGTTATAGCTCTCCAGAGAGCACGTGTGTCCTCTAGAGAAAGCTCAACCTGTGTCATTTCTCCTGGCAGGGGAGCTGACCACACTCAAAGCCCTGGACCGGGAAAGGAAGGATATATACAACCTGGTTGCTAAGGCAACAGATGGAGGGGGCCAATCATGCCAGGCAGACGTGACTCTCCACATTGAGGATGTGAATGACAATGCCCCAAGGTTCTTCCCCAGCCACTGCACTGTGGCTGTCTTTGACAACACCACAGTTAAGACCCCCGTGGCTGTGGTCTTTGCCCGGGACCCTGACCAGGGTGAGTATGTGAAGGACTGGTGGCCACCTGCACTATCAAGTCATCAGGTCCATCTGGGGTGACCCATTGTCTCTGTGTCTTCTGGAATGGGCATTGACTAAGACTCCTTGATGAGTCTGTGGTTACTGAGAGTGGAAAAGATCTATAGACAGCTACACACCTGAATCTGTGACAAGTGACTTTAGTGGCATCTGAGACAGGTACAAAGGATTGCAGACAGTTTCCCCTCTGCCATTTGGACTCCCAGAACTTTCATGTTGCCACCGACGTCCAAAAGTACTTTTCTCAAGGTCATCTTGAATATGGTTAATCGGAAATCTACAAGTCAACTACTCAGTTCATTAGTCTATATAAGAAAGAAACTTTTGGCCCTGAGTCCATGATGTTTATTAAAATCCTTTCATCAAATTTTAGACAGTACAGTTGAACCAGTTACACTATTTTCCTTTATCTTGGGTAGTGGGGTTTGAACCTGGCATGCTAAGCAAGCTATCTACCACTGTATCCGTTCCTTTTCTGCTGCTGTGACAAAAGTGCCTCACACAAACATCTTAAGGAAGCAAGAGTTCATTCTGATGGTTTGAGAAGGGATATGTCCACCTTGGCAGTAGGACATGAAGTGACTTGTCACACTGTATCCACATTCAGGAAGTGAGCAGACAGAAAGAAGGGTCAGGCTATAAGGCCTCCAGTGACCTATTTCCTCTAGTGAACTCTATCTCTTAAAGGTTCTGCAACCTTTCAAAACAACTCCACACGCAGGGTACCAAGTGTTCAGACACGTGAACCTATGGGAGCACAGTTCAAACCACATTCAAACCACAACCACCGAGCTATATCCTCAGCCCTAAGAAGCTACATTTTTATTTCAGTGACATTGTTTTCATTGTTTCTTTGCCCTGAATATTTGCACAGTCCTTTAGTCTGGTTTCTGTTGATGTTATTGAATACCATGGTTAAGGTGACTGGTAGGGAATTGGTAAGGTTCAGGGCTGGAGAGGTGCTTGTAATCCCAGTGCTGGGCAGGGGAGACAGGAGGATCTTTGGGGCTTGCTGGGCAGCTGACCTAGCTGAATCAGTGAGTCCCAGATCAGTGGGACACCCTGTCTCAGAGAAACAATATGGGTGGTTCCTGAGAAATTGCACATTATATTTACTTCTAGCCTCCAAATACATATACATGCATGCACACCTGTACACACAGAAATATGCACACACCAAAAGAGAATGTTTATCTGGCTTACAGTTACAGGGGTTGAGAAGTCCAAGAATGTGCAAGCATCTGGGGAGGGCTTCCAGTTGTATAACAATACAACAGAAACCATTGCAGGGAGACCAGGGACAAGGATGGTATCTTGGCTCTGTCTTCTGCTTCGTATGAAGCCACTAATGCCATTCTGGTAGCCCCACCTTCATGACCTTATCTAGTCTCAGTAACCTCCTGACATCATGCACATGAATTAAGGGCTGAACTATCAGTGCATGAACTGTGAAGGTCATATTCAAACCAAAGTCCACAGTGAATTAGACCCATCATAGTGTGTATGTCCCATATCGGACAAATTATAGCATTTGACATCCTGAAACATCTTAAATTGGTTCATTTTCCTAAGTCAAGTTTTATGATTAATCATCTGGGTAGGCTAAAACATGTCATGAGAGTCAAAGTAGCCAGATGATGATGATGATGGTGAGGATAAAAGCAGAATCGTATTCCACCAGCAATGTAAATTGAACATCTAGATTTTGGCTTGGCATTGCAGGAGGCAAGATTTTTAAGAAATATAGTATTCTAGGGAGGGTAAACTATCAGTCCAAAGATAGACAAACTGGAGCTGGGAAACATTTGCACATGTTCATGATGTGGCTGCACATCAAAAGTCAATGTCAGGCATCATTCCTTGGATGCCATCCACTTTGCTTTCTGAGACAGGGTCCCTTCATTGGCATAGAGTCATTTAGACCAGGGTGGCTCTCCAGCTAGCCCTGTAGATCTGTCAGTTTCTTCCTCCCTGGTGCTAGGATTAAGAGCATCTACTACCATGCCTTTATTTTTGCATTCTGGGGATCAAATTCACGTCTTCATTCTAGGGTGAAAGCACATTGTCAAACAAGCTGCCCATCCAGTCCTATTTTCTTAACTTATTATTAATTACAGGCTCACAAGAAGTTGCTAACTAGTTTGTGAATAAGCCCATCATCCTCCCAAGAATTTTTTTGTGATGGCTTGGAGTGGCTGACTGAGATTCTTTGCATGCCTTGGGAACGTTAGCTTTTATGAGCCTCTCCCAAGCCCTGTTGTTGGGTGTCCTCAAGTGTGACTCTCATTCCTGGTCTCTACAGGTGCCAATGCCCAGGTAGTGTACTCACTGACAGACTCTGCTGATGGCCAGTTCTCCATTGATGCCACCTCAGGGGTGATTCACCTGGAGAAGCCTCTGCAGGTCAGATCACGCTCTGCTGTGGAGCTTACGGTCCAGGCCTCAGACCTAGGCATCCCAATACCACTGTCTGCCTTGGGCACTGTCACAGTCTCCGTAGTGGGCCTGGAGGACTACCTTCCCATCTTCCTGAACGCAGAGCATAGCACACAGGTGCCCGAGGATGCTCTGATAGGCACAGAGGTACTACAGCTGGCTACCCTCACACGCCCGGGCTCAGAGAAGACTGGTTACCACATCACAAGTGGGAATGAGCAGGGGAAGTTCCGACTGGATGCTCACACAGGTAAGATGGGCAGGAGCCAGTTCAGCCCTTCATTTGTAGGGTATAATAGTTTTTCATTTACAGGGAACATCTGTCCACATAGCTCCCCAACCCCTGCAGCTGGCATCCTTTAATTATAGATACATTGTCCACATTTCTTCTTTCTCTATGTGGGCCTAGCTTACCTGAGAGGGTCATTATTTCCCCACATCTTCACCTAGAACCCTGTCCAGGATCTTCTGTAATCCATTCAACCCAGCTGGTGGCTTCCTGGTCTCAACACAGCCCAAGGGGCTTGGCATGCCTTACTCCTTCCCTGAACCAAACACTTGCTGAAATCCAGTGTTCAAGTAGTGTGGTACTTGCAGCAGTCAAGCTCCTGACACCCCTGAATTTTCCGTTATGATTAAATGAGGAAAGACAGAATAAGGAAACCATCTCCCTTTTCTCCTCCTAGCTATGGAGCCTGAGTCAAACCCACAGGGACTCATGGAAGGATCTCACTGCATCTCATGCAGAGTCCTCCCAAGCACCCCGGTGCACTGGAGCTAGCCCTAGCCCCTCAAAACTCCACCTCACCTCCATCACTTCTTCTCTCCTCAGGAACCCTATATGTCAACGGGAGCCTGGACTTTGAGACGACTCCCAAGTACTTCCTGTCCATTGAATGCAGCCGGAAGAGCTCTTCCTCCCTCAGCGACGTGACCACCATAGTGGTTAATGTCACTGATGTTAATGAACACCACCCCAGATTCACCCATGACCTGTACACTGTGAGGGTCTTGGAGAACGCCATTGTGGGTGACACCATCTTGACTGTAAGAAACCCCAGCTTCACTCTGTGGGCTCTGGGTGGCTCTTGCTTCACTCCTCTATGGGTCCCTAGTCACCATAAGCATAGATTGGCTTATCAAGTCAGTGTTCTATAGCACATAACTTGTAACTTCTCAGCAAAACTGTGCCACATTGGCAATATTCAATAGGAGAACAACAAAAAAAAAGGGGTTGATTCCAGGGGTCTGCCCGATTCCTATGACAGTGACATGGAGTGCCAGTGGGTGGGAGAGAGGACAGAGGGCTTACCACATCATACCTCTTTGCATTTAAATACACAGTTACTCCCTCCTTCCATGAAGCATGCTCATATGTAGTTCTTCGGGACTCCTCTCCATCTCCCTTCTGATGTCTGCTGCCTCCCCTATGATTCCTGTGCCCCAAATGCAAACCAAGAGTTGCCTTCCTGAGCACACCTTCACACTTCCTTGCACAAACCATTTCCTCTGCCTGGAGGGTTCTTTCTATGACCAGACCCTCCCGTATCCATCAAAGCTCCCTGAATCCCCTTATAACCTCTCTGGATGTCACCCCACTCTGTCCTCCCATGAAAACCACCGTGATTAGAATCATACACATCAGACACAACACCTAAAAAGGGTGGATCATTGTACATGTTCCTCATAGCCTGGTCTCCTGGAACCAACCCTGATATACCCTGTCACTGTGAGACAATGGGTAAATGAGTGATCCATGGCATATTGAGATCACGAGAGATGCTCTTGGGGTAGGGACTACTGACTCAGTGGTAGCCATTGGGATATGAACATAATCATCACTCTCAGGGCTAAGATTCCTTTCTGGTCACTCTTGTGCCTACATTCACAATCTCCCCTCTGCTACAGGTATCAGCATCTGATGATGATGGACCTGTAAATAGTGCCATTACCTATAGCCTGGTAGGAGGGAACCAGCTTGGACACTTCACCATCAACCCTAAGAAGGGGAAGCTTCAGGTGGCCAAGGCACTTGACTGGGAACAGGTGAGCCATGTCCAGGCTGAGGAGAAGCATGGCTCTATGGCAAGTCCAGAGGGTAAAGGGCAAACACACCTAATCCTGATTTCCAGACAGTTGCCAGGATGATTCCTCTGTGAACTCTGAGGCAAGAGGCAGGTTGACAAGGGATCAATCCAGTGACAGCTACGATGAACTGAGATCAATTACTGACATCAGGCACTTTGCTGGATGCTAAGCTTAGGTGAATCTCACCATTTGATGCCCATAGTCATCCCAGAAAGTATGACCTGACTTTACCCTCTCCCACAGCTCAGTCCCCTTCCCAAGGCCTCATAGTGAGGAGCTACCAGATTGCAAATCACTTGCTTTCTGTCTGATTCTGACACTTGAGAGCCAGTGCTATAGGTGGGCCATGGGAGTAGGCAACACTTCAAGGGGCAGACACTAGGCTTTATCTCTAATTCCCCGCTGTGCATCTTGTCACAGACACCCAGCTACTCCCTGAGGCTCCGAGCCACAGACAGTGGGCAGCCCCCATTGCACAAAGACACAGAAGTGGCTGTTGAGGTGGTTGATGTCAATGACAACCCACCCAGGTTCTTCCAGCTCAACTACAGCACTGCTGTCCAGGTAAGGGCGTCCTGAGCCCACCCTCCTCTTGTGTCCCTCTCAATGGGAGGGGCTCCCCAGAGGTATCAGCCCACCCAACCAGCCGTGATTGTTTTTCCTCTGCTGTCCCTAAAGGCAACACGGAGAACCAAAGGGGGCTGTGGGTTATGGGACAGAAAAGAAACAGGTCCCTTGTTAGGGTTTTATATGACCACTATCCTGTCCTATTTGGGGTTCACCATGGCCACTGAAGTGGGAGGTATCCAACTCAGAAATTTCAGACATGAGGGTACATGGGGGAAGAAAGAAGACATACTGCATGTTAACTCTCACATGTGAATCTAGCTTTAAATATATACAAATATGTAGATTTGTGCATATATACATATATATTCACACACATATAATGAAAACAGGAAGGAGACTGTTTGTGGAGGAGGAAGACCTATGAGACGGAGAAGGAAGGACTAGAAGGGTAGTGAGGAAGTGTGTAAAAATAAGGTAAAATTATATGCGTGTGTGCGCACACACACATGCATATATATGCACATACATGAAATGTCATAGTGAAGCCCATGATTTTGTTATCTAACTAAAAAAAATAATGATTTAAAATGGAAGTGCTACCATGCACCCACCGATGCTAAGAACTTGCAGTCTGTGAGCTGTAGGGTCAGGCAATGGCCTCCACTATAGGATATGGGTTTGACCTTCAGTATGTAAGACCTGGTGCTGTACTCAGGGACGTGGAGGGAAGACTACCAGGCTAGCTTTCAGCCTGTGCCAAGTCTGGTTCCCTGGAAAAATGAGACGACAAAGGAGGAAACTGAGGGGCTGTGGCTTACACTGCTCTCTGGCTTCCTGTCATTCTCGGTCACAGGAGAACTCTCCCATTGGCAACAAAGTCCTGCAGCTGATCCTGGATGATCCTGACTCCCCACAGAACGGACCCCCCTACTCCTTCCGGATCACTGGGGGGAACACTGGGTCTGTGTTCCGGGTGACTCCAGATGGATGGCTGGTAACAGCCACGACCCTGAACAGGAGGGCCCAGGAGTGGTATCAGCTTCACATTGAGGTGAGTGCTGTGTGAATCCGAGCTAGAGTGTATGCTGATAGCTTTGGGAACAAGATGACTGCTGGTAGACACAGTGATGACTGGGTGGAGACCTGAGGGGGCTTGAAGGACAGTGAGCAGGAGATCGTTCCAGGCAGGAAGAGTAAGATGAATAAGGACCGGAGTTGGGTAAGAGTTTGAAGTGACCTGTGATCAAAAAACAGGAAGTGACGTCAGGAAGGAAATTGAAGCATAGATAAGGCTGGTCAACCATGGCAGGGCTGAAGGAGGGTTCATTTTTATGAGTGACTGCTAGCTGAGGTCTAAACTGTGGTATATGGAGTGACAGAAGTGCTATCTAGTTCAACTGGCTACTATAGCAGAATTCTGAAGACTGGACAGGGGGCGATTAGACCTGTGACACTGCTGGGAGCTGAAGGCTGAGACCAGAATGAAGCTGTGGGCAGATCCTGATGAGGGACTTCTTCCTTACATGGCAGGGAGACAGGAAGCAGGTGCCAACTGCTTCTGAGGGCACCGATGTCCCTTCAGCCGCAGTATGTTATATACTGTAATACTAGTACTAGGGGTGCTGAGGTGGGAGAATTATAAATGTGAGGACAATCTGGGCTACAAATGGAGTTCCAGGGCAGTCTGAGCTACATGTCTAGACCATGTTTTAAACCAAAACAAAGAGTTGTATACACCTGCAATTCCAAGACTTGGAAGGCTGAGGCAGGAGAGGGTTATTGAGTCCTGAGGCCAACCTGAGCTATGTAGCCAGACATTGTCTAGTAAAATTTTAAAAAGCTTTTTTTTAAGGGACTAATCAACTTCACAAAGGCCCCACAGCTATGCTCTTATCTCCCAAAGGCTCCCCTTACAGACATGGGGACTTTAATATTTGAATTTTGAATGGACAGAAACACTAAGCATTGGTGACAATTGATCCATAGCCAAGAACACTCTAAGCCAACCTTGGCAAGCCAGGTCAAACAGTTACCTTAATTTTTAGAGACATGTATTTATATATTTGTTTAGCCCCCGTGGAACTGGTTATGAGCCTCCCATTGTGGGTGCTGAGAACAAAGTTTGGGTTCTCTACAAGAGCAGCAATCACTCTTAAGCCCTGAGTCGTCTATCCAGCCCCGATTTTCTCATTTAAGGAGCTCATGCCACCCTTGTTTAAAGCCTTCGTGAGCTTTTCACAACCATGGCATGAGATCCAGCCTCATGCTCCTCAGCCCATAGTGAAGCCCATGCCAACATTCCCTCCGCTTGCTCCAGTGCCTTCCTGTCTAGTTGGGCATGCCACTTCTCCACCCAGGAGCCCTGCCATGCCCCTACCCTGTAGAGATGCCTTCACTCTCACCCGACCCAAGTCAGCCCCCTCATTTGACTTCTTCTCCCCATGTCTGTTATTTTCTTCACTTTGTCCAAGCCGATAGCCTCTAGCAGGCTTGGTCACTCACCCTGCCTGTCCCCTGACTACAGCAGGGGGCCCGCCACAGGAAGCTCTCACCTGGCCCAGAGAATAAGTTCCCATTCTGATCCTGTAGGAAAGGGAGTCCCCGAGGGGCTCTCCTTCAGTGGGTAGCAACCTTGGAGGGATGTGAAGAATGGTCAGGGGTGTCTCCTGACTAACCAGAGTCTAGGTAGGAGAGTGGAGAGGGGCTCAGAAGGGAAGAGGCATAAAAAGATTGGTCTGTGCTGGAGAGCTGGCTCAATCAGCATATGTATGGACACACATGTGCGTGCTTACACGTGGAGGCTTGCTTGGAGGGATTTAGGAGACTCAGGGCCCATGAGGCTTGGGGGCGGAGGAATCGAGTTATTTTCCTGTTTCCCTGTTTTCTATAAAAAGCCTTAAGAAACTCCGCAGCACAGCCTTGGGCTTCGGAGTTGATCATTTTCCATGCAGGACAGCATGCAGCACCTGTCCCCCTGGGTGTGGGGAAGGGAAACAAGGCTGGTAGGGGGAAGAACCTCAGCTGGGCATAGAGGCTCTGCAGTCTGTTGGGTGCCAGGACTGTTTGTCTTACCCACAGGTGTCAGACAGTGGCCTCCCGCCCTTGTCATCTTCCACGATGGTCCGAGTACACGTGACAGAGCAGAGCCGCTACCCACCTTCCACACTTCCACTAGAGATCTTCATCACAGTGGGGGAGGAGGAATTCCAGGGAGGCATGGTAGGTAAAATCCATGCCACAGACCGAGACCCGCAGGACACGCTCACCTACAGCCTGGAGCGAGAGGAAACCCTGGGCAGGTACTTCTCGGTGGGCGCATCCGATGGCAAGATTATTGCCTCCCAAGGACTGCCTCGTGGCCGATACTCGCTTAATGTCACAGTCAGTGATGGGACCTTCACCACCACCACTGGGGTCCATGTCCACGTGTGGCACATGGGGCAGGAGGCCCCTCAACAAGTTATGTGGCTGGGCTTTCACCAGCTCACCCCTGAGGAGCTGGTGAGTGACCATTGGCGCAACCTGCAGAGATTCCTGAGCAATACCTTGGACATCAAGCGAGCCAACATCCACCTGGTCAGCCTGCAGCCTGCAGAGGTCACAGCTGGGGTGGATGTGCTTCTGGTCTTTGAGAGACATTCCGGAACCTCCCATGACCTCCAGGAGCTGGCATCTGCCATAGTTCATTCAGCCAAAGAGATGGAACACTCAGTGGGAATTCACATGAGGTCAGCCCTGCCTGTGGTGCCATGCCAAGGGCCAAGCTGTCAGGCTCATAGCTGCCAAGAGACAGTGTCCCTGGAGCCCAGGGTTGGGCCCACTTACAGCACAGCCAGACTTAGCATCCTGACACCACGACACCACCTGGGGAGGAACTGCTCCTGCAATGGTAAGTCTTGGGGATGTATTGCTGGGCCTTAGCTTCCTGAATCCACGTGAACTCCCACAGAGGTTCATGAGTATGGCTATAATCCAACTAAATGCCACAGACCAGCGGAACACTGGGAGTGATGTCACAGTTTAGTCAAGGGACACTAACCAAGTTCGTTCCACTTCCTGGGATTCTGAAAGTAACAGTCAATTACAAAAGACATACTAGCTAAAAGCATGGACTGGGGTGTCAGGCTGCCAGAGTTCATTCCCATCTTTACCCTGCCACTTTCCAGCCAGATGACTAGGGGGATTCTTTGATCTGTCTACCTCGGTGGACTTTGCTGTTATAAAGATTGAGTTTAACAAATCGGGTACTCTTGGAGAAGAAGCCTGACAGAGGAGATACTCCAGACATGTCAGTTACTGATGCCACTGCTCTCGGCCCCACAGCCTGCTGGTATCAGCTCAGGAAGTAAACCCAACATAGGTTCACATCCTGTCACTTACTAGTGGTGTGTCCTTGGTTGGGTTCTGTAAAGTCCACCAGACTCCTGTTGCCAATTTATAAAGGGCACCCCTCACCTTAAGCAGGTTTGGAGAATAAATTTCATATAGATGTAATAGCACATAGCCCATGGCTGACCACAGTGAGCCCAGGTTGGTGCTGGCACTCACTCACATGAGAGCAGACGGTAGTATAGAGAGCCTGCTGTGTGCCAGGCTCCATGTGGGTCATCGGACCCTTCCGTGTTAAAGATGGGTGCTGTTTTGCCTGAAACTATCCAGCCTCCAATGGAGGTCAGGCTATTCAAGCACCAGTATGTCCTATTCAGAGCCTAAGCTCCATACTTCGCAATCTAATATCCCAGGCAGGAAGACCCACACCCTGAGCCAGCTCACCTTTGTCAAATGGAAACTGACACAAACTGTGAAAATGGTTCAGTTGGTAAATTGCTCATATTCAAGTATGGGGCCCCGAGTCTAGATGTCTAGCTTCAAGTACAGAAGCATGTACCTGTAATCCCAGAGCTGTGGAGGTGGAGACAGGAGGATCTCTGGGGCTCACTTAAGGAAGAGAGCTAATGTTGACCTCTGGCCCTCACATGCTCAGGTACCAACACACACACACACACACACACATGTGCACACACACACACTCATGAAGTGACATGGCCTGGCCTACCTTTGAGGTACCCACCCAGCTTGCATTAGGGAGACTGTGGCTCAGATTTGGAGGTTGACAGGGAAGAGTGGGCCTAGGCTAGGGGGTAAGGGAGCTGCCCCTTCTCTGCATTTCGCCCCAAGGGAAAGCTGGAATAGCTGAAGGCTCTCTCTGGACCATTGGGCAGCAGACAGCAGAGGTTCTCTAACAGCCAGTCCTACTGTGCACAGCACCAGGGAGGGTGTGCCCAAAGAGACTGCTCTGGGTGTACTGCTAGAAGTTTTCATTGCAAAGCCTTGGGTGAGCCCTTCCTTTGGCTTTCAACTGGAAGCACGTGGCCCCGGGGCTGCGCTTTGAGGAACTCTAGCTGAGCTTGCTCACTGCCAAAATCACTGGGAGTGGGGTGTTTTGTTAACAAGTTAGAAAAATAGGACATCCAGAAAATTGGCTTATGTGTTGCGTGCAAGCACCTCAATGTGTTTTACAAGACCCAGTATGTCAGTGTAGCCTGAATCTCAGTCAGGCTTAGAATGTGACCAGTGTCTTAAAGCCTCCTTGGGCTCCCTTCCTCAACACCTACCATGGGAAGATTTTTTAAATTCAGGCTGGCCTTCAGCTGGCTGAGTAGTCAAGCATAACCCTGGACTCCTGATCCTCCTGCCCCCACCTCCTAAGTGCTGGGACTACTGACATGTGCCCCCATGTCCAGTTTTGTGTGCCAGGGATGGAACTCTGCAGGCACTCTACCAACTGAGCCACATCCCCAGCCCCACCTAGAGCATTTGAGTCAGACTGTGCAATAGGGGACTCTAGGATGCTGTTTTTAGTGAGTCCCCAGCCAATCCTGATAGGCGGTCACATTTGGGAATTCTTGATCTGAATCAATTTCTGTCTCTCATCTGTTAACATCCACTGCAATGGTTGAGGAGTCTTAGACTTCATGTGGTAGAACCTTTCTGTCTTGGGGTTCCTTGTACTTTAAGATGCAGCCCCTTCCTTTATTTCCTCTCTCCTGTAGTCCCTCCTTCCTGGGTATCAGGAGCCTATGCCATTCATTCTTTGTCCTGAGGATGAACAGGCAGCTTCTTCACACTGGGTGACTAGGGGCTTACTCTGACGTCACATTTCCCAAAGCACACTGCTTCCAAAGACTGTCACCTAAGAGTGCATGGTGGTCAAACAAGACAAGCTGGAGACCCCCACTCTGCTCCCTTGCCCATGTGAAACCTCAGACTTGCCTACGCACCTCTGCATTAGAAATCACTAATGGGGCTGGGGGAGGCTGCACTTGACAGAGGTCTGGACCCCTGCCTCCATCACTAGCCCCCTTTCTTTAATCAGAGTGGCTTTTGACCCTTCAAGAGCAACTTGCTTGGGTAGTTCCCTGCTTACCCAAGGAAAACACAGACCCCTGTGGTCCAGACTGAATCCCACACAGCTGCAGAATTGTCTTCAATTCTACCTCCCCTCTTCCAGGGATAGACAAAAATGTGGGTGGTGCAGGATTTAAAAGCTTGACTTCACACGTCTGGTTAGCCCTGTGTCTCCTCCCTGTCCCCGCCGAGTTTTGCTTTCTTCATAGCTAAAGCTCACTGCTCCTGACCCTCAGCCTGGGAGTGATCCTGCAGAACCTGTACCCAGAGGGAGGTATGCAGGGTGACAGCTCAGCTCCCTGTGTGACTCTGGAAAAGTAATCTACCCCACCCAGTCTGGCCTCTTCGTGTATCAGATGTGAGAAGTGGCCCATTTGCCACCCAAGGGTTGAATGAGACAAAGTCAGTCTAAGGGGTCTGTGACACTTCAAGGATGGTGACACCTCGGGTTCATTTGCAGGCACCACCTTGAGGTTCAGTGGTCAGAGCTATGTGCGCTACAGGCCCCAAGAGGCTCGGAACTGGCAGGTCCACTTCTACCTGAAAACCCTCCAGCCACAGGCTGTTCTGATGTTCACCAATGCAACAACAGTCTCTATTTCTCTGAAGGTAAGATGACTCCCACACGAGTGGCTGCCATGGGGACCCCATTCTGGGAAGATGTGGGGTGCTATGAGGATGTCTACTGAGCCAATTCCTGGCAAAGAATCCCCTCATGGCTTTCAAGGATGCTGGGTGTGACTATCAATCAGAACACATGGACACAGGACTGTCTGTCCTGCAGTCATTCTGGCTGGCCCAGTGCGCTATAAGCATGCCTACCTGTTAAGAATAAAGCTAACTAGAATGTTCTAAGCCAGAGGTTCTCCATCATTGTAACCTCGGGGATTTATGTGTGTGCATGCACATGTGCAGAGGCCACAAGGCTACCTTGGCTGTTGCTCCTCAGGTACCATTCACCTTGGTTGTCTTTGTTTCTTGCAAGTCTGGAGCTCAACACCTAGGCTAGGCTAGCTGATCCATGCACAAACACTTGAATGATCAAAACCCACAGGGTCCCATCAGTAAGGTTTCTTTGGGCCTCAGGTTCCTCATCTGTCAAATGGGATCTTGATCATCCCATGGAATGTGATGAGGACTGGATGGGATTCTGAGGGTATTTGAATTCTTCAGAGGCAACGTCAGAAGCATTTGAAAATGCTTGAAAATGGGGATGTGGCTCTCAATAGGTAGAGCACTTGTCTGGCATGCACAAAG